AAAACGTCTCGTCATAGACTTTAAGAAGCTTAACCTCAGGATTGTTTTCGATAAATACCAATGATTTCGGGTTTAAAGATATCATATGAATATCTTACCCCCATTGCCTTCTATGCCATGTCCAGTCTATATGTTGTTTGGTTAGAGGTATTAGAAGCAAAAATGCGTGTAGCACACGAGAATATATAGTTTTTTAGAAAGAGCGGTGAGTATATCGGCTTTATAGTGACTAAAGATGGTGCAAAGTCAGATCCAGAGAAGGTAAAATCCATTCGGGACACCGCTTAGCCGACTAAGGTGTTTGAAATAGGTTCCTTTTTGGGATTGGCAAGCTATTACCGCTGTTTGTCAAAGATTTTGCAGCAATAGCGAAACCAATCTCTGACATCCTTAAAGTAGAAAACGGATCCATTAGCAAGTACAGGTTTACAAAGGTCCTTATACAATTAAATATTTATATACCCGGACTACAAAAATCATTCGATTTGACTACAGACTCCTCAGCCCCATATTAATGATATTCCGGTCTTTAAAAGAAAGAAAGCAATCTACGTACTCACGAGCGAGAGTTGTTTGCCATCGTCTGGGAATTGGGCAAACTGTGACATTTTCTTTACGCCTTTACGCCAGCCTGGCACAATCTCAAAATCCGAGAGCAATCCCAATGCAAAAATAAAGCGCTGGAAAGCGCGCATTGATGTAACAGGGGCCAAGCTTTTCCATACGCCTGATAAAGAATATCATGTCGCTGACGGGCTGTCGCACCAGAACGTGCACGCCCCCAGCAGGGCAACCGCGATGAACCAGAATCTGGCGGCGGCTACGATTCACAGTGAATTGTCCCTATCTGACACAATCGATTCGACGGAGAAGCCTCCAAACTGCTTACTTAAAGAAGAATTTCAAACATTTCGGCAATAAAATTTGCCATATAACAAATTTCATCAACAGGGACGCCATTATCGAAACAATAAAAACCGTCTGTTACGGGGCAAAGTGAAAATGTCTATTATTACTAAGTCCTACTGGGTCTCGCATTTTTCTGTAAGCAGCGCTCACTTCTTACACTGGAAGCGCACCGTTAGAACTAGTTTGTACATGCAGAAGTCGATATCACGTAGCTGCACAATTTGCCTTTTCGTCAAGGCTCACTTTCGTTTTGTGCTTGCAGCTGAGCAAGAGTGTAAGAGAAGATAAGTGCGTGCGGATTACGAATGTAAGTCTCATAAACATGTTAATTATAGACCATTAAAGAATGAAAGATAATAAAGACTTCAGCAATCGTACGTAGCGTATCGAATTGTATCGTATCGTACATCGAATCGAATGTTGTTTTTCTTTTCGACGCAAGAAATCCCTGCCAAATACGCGCCCCGGCTTGAGTCTCGGCGTCAAAACTGTCGTAAACATAAAGCGAAAATGAACTCTGCTGTTGAATAATTACGGCGTCAGCGTGGTAAACACGCATCCCCTTTGGAGTACGTCTAATGGGCAGGTACAACGCTTTCACAACACCCTGCTGGAAATAGCCAGGTGTTTAAAGCTTCAAAGCGCCATAATTGACACAGTCGACATTATCCTGCAGGCCACTATCCACTCCGTAATTGAGAAGAGTCCTAAAGATATCTTGCTTAACTCCCCACGGGAAGATACCCGTGAGTTTAGGGATAAGATTGAAAGGACCCAAATTCAATAGAACACCAGGGTTAACCAAAGGCGTCAGCACAGAGTCTTTAAAGAAGGTGACAACATCCTTGTAAAGACAAAACGAAAATTTAAGTAACAAGCTGTCGCCCTTGTGTGTCGAAAAAAAATTGGAAGCGGGTTTGGGGACAAGGGTCCTCATTGAGGATACGGTGGTCCACAAGGACAACCTCCGTTGATGTTTAAAAATAAAGAAAAAACCTTTTTACCCTTTTGCTAATATTAGTTTCAACATTTTAGGCTTACGCTTATCATACTTTCAATCATGACCAAGACGACGGCACGGGTGACTACACGCACGCGGACTGCATACCGATCATGGACGGAGACATCTTACTCTGGGACATCTACACGGATACTTACGTCACACTTTCAACCTCACAGATAACGAGACAATGACTGAAGAAAATACAAAACTTATTGACTATTTCCGCATTTCCATATGAGAAAATTTCTGAAAGTTGACACTGGACATGTTCTCCGCCCTCGATGTGCACCATCGAAAAGTAAGTAGCCACGACTTCTTGGGAACAGCCCTTAAGGTTGTAGCGTTCACTTCGGATGCAAACGACTGTAAGAAAGTAGAACTAACGCAGACGCAGCTGGTCACTGCAAGCAATAGGCAGATTTCCATAATCTCCAAAGTACAAGAAAAAATGTACCAACTGACCGACAGTGTAAGCAAAATTCTAAATTCCTTAAAAGATAAGCATGCCGACACAGGTCGCCTTTTTAAACCCCTAAACATGCGACAGAATGATGATAACAGAAATATAGAGCCTTATTCTTACTTTACCCTTAGAAAAAATCAATGTAATAAATCCAACATCAATAACTGATCACTCTGATTTACTGAACTTTTCACTGACCAAGTCACAGGGACCCCCATAACAAACATTTTGAAAGTATCTAATATCAAATTAGTAAAAACAATATAATAACTTTCATAATTCAGTTCCCTATAATAAGCAGTAATGCAGGAAGATAACCATATTCCAAGTCGCTCACAATAATTCCGTACTTCAACTTCACGACAACTTGGTGGCTGATTGCGATGGCCAGATTTTAGCTGTAGCAAATTGTTCACAAACAGCAACTGCCACGTTCTGCAAGCGGTCCGAGAGCAGCAGCTACGCGCAAGGCCTCCATGCAGGAGGTACGGCTCATTGCCAAACGCAGCCGAGTCACCCTGACCCTGTCACCATAGTGGATGACGGCATTATCATCATAAACGATGGCAGCGCAATACTTAGCTGTGACGACCGCACCGCAATGAAAGTAGATGTTACAAGCCTTGTCACTTTCACGTCCCAAGCCATGGTGAATGGGAAGCGATACTTTAATCGCATGAGCGTGAAATATCTGTTACCGGCAGTAACGGCATCCCCGTTAATATACATCAGTGGTCACGACATGGTGCTCAGCCTTCCCTACATTCAGGGTCTAAGTGAGGACAACCTTAACCGTAATAGTCAGAAACATATCGGAAATTTCCCTCAGCATAATAAATTGTTAGTTTGTGCTGTGGGACCTGGGGTCTACTGGCTTCATCAGCTGGTGATCAAACGTTAAAATTCTCGAAAAATCTGGCAGATACTGGAAAAATTAAGCACAACCGAGGACGGTCGGTCTTCGAGAGGGAAGTAGTTTACCACCGCCATTTGGTATTTGCTGAGCCAGCGTTCTTGGGAATTCAATGACCAGAATCACGATCGCGGCGGATATGTCCAACTATGTTGCCAGCCGCGACGGTCATCGGACACCATACACGAGGCGCTAACTCTGCTATTTTGAGGGTAGCGACGGCGATGCAGGTTGGCTTTGCTTATTATAACCAAAATTGTATTTCATTGGTCTAAGTACCACTCCTTTCCATAAATTACTGTTCTTAGTTTACTCAACTGCATTTGTGAATGCAAATAACCAAAACATATAAAACTTTATTTATAAATGCAATAATTTGTATATCTTGTTTTCAATGTTTCAATTCTAGTTTAGTTTTGGCTTCCGGCACTTGCCGTCATCAATATACTAATTGTTATACTAATTGTTTCATTGCTGAGCCACAAGGCTGGTGATTTGGAAAACTAGTTGCTTTCCGAACATAAGATACAAGGAATTGTTGTATATGCAGGTGACGAGTATCTGAATATACAACATGAACATCTACAATTTAGAAGTCTAATAATTTACATTCATTGCTACGGTTTTGTTATATTTGTCTGATGATAAGATTTTTATATTTTTAAGTTCTCCTATTGGTAAAAGATTAAAGGATTTTATACCCTGAACCCATTAAAAATGGGTAAAATGGGTATAATGATTTTGTGCAATCGTATGTAACAGGCAGAAGGAAGCATCTCCCACCCCAAAAAGCATATATTCTCTTGATCAGCATCAATAGCCGAGTCGATGTAGCCAAGTCCGTCCGTCCGTCCGTATGTATGAACAAAAGTATATCAGAGCCTATAAGAGCTAGAGACTTGAAATTTTAGCTGTAAGACCTTCTAGTGTCTGCGCAGATCGAGTTTGTCCGATAATCGATAAGTTACTTGAGCAAATTGGGTAAATAATAAGAGCTAGAGTCACCAAACTTGGTATGTTGGTTCTAGAATATTATCTATATATCAAGTATCTTTCATTTTATACCTATCGCCAACTCCTTCTACTGCCGCCGAGCTATAAATCATGTTAATAACCCTACCCTGCCTACCAGTTTAAGCCACAATTTTTCTATCAACAGCACTGAAAATGTGATTGTACTGTTTTCTGTGCTGTTATTTTAAATCGTTCTTTTTTTTTTAAAGCACTCAATTATTGGTGTGGCAACTGGGTAGAGGCGGCGGCAAGTAGCGCCGTCAGTTGCGAGCTCGTACCCTGCTATGGGATTTTTTTTTTTAAATTTATCTTTATTATTACTTAAGCAAAAGAACGCAAAACTCTGCGTTTGGTGTTGGTATAAGGGGGTTCAGGGTATCCCCTAGCTTTGATCCTCCGAAAAGTAAGCACCACATTTTAACTTAAAATCATTAAGAACCTAAGCTATGAATGTGTACTTGAAACTTCCCCCATCATATCTTTGACTCCCATTTGCGCCAAAAATAAATGGATTTTACAAAAAATGTTAAACACTCCTTAAATCAGTTTGAACACTGACTTTTCGAAACAAGTGTGACGCTGATCGGATGGTAAACACAAAAGTTTAACACAAAAGTTTCCAAAACCCTATCATAGCGTGCATCTTCACTACATAAGGTAACTACAGTTAATATTTCATATTATATTTATCACCAATCACTTAGTTATTCACGAGTAAATGCTTTATATCTTATTATATAGAAATATATTATTGGATGCTCAATTAAATTACTAAATAAAATCCGATGCCGAAAGCTGTTGCGCTTGAACCATTGTGCAAGCTTAGCAGCACAATCTCATAAAGCTGAAAGTCATGTGAACTTACGCGAAGAAGCTTTCGGAAGTCGACAAGCACTCAACAAAAAAAAATAATTTATTCTAGATCTCCAGCTTTCCGCTAGATAGGAATAATTATTTTTACATGTATATAATGTGCCTACAACCCAGAAATACGCTGTTTGTCTGGGCAATAATGATTTTCGACTTCACATTAGCAGCGATCTAAATGGTTACCGGAACGGTCAGGTTCAGTGGGTGTCTTAGTCTAAAAGGGTTACCAGCATTTTAGAATTTTTGAACACTCACGTGTCCAATTAAGACCAAAATTTATGGACGGATTTTTGTGTTAGCTTTCGGAATAAAAATAACAAGAATTAAACTAATTAAAGACTCTTGAAAATGCAATTCTTCCTCTGGGAAATTTAATAAGTTTCAGGAAAAATTATATTCTCCCGAACAGTAAGGGTATAAAAGGAATTTGGGAGTGATGATGCAAAGTTCCCATGTGGAGATCTATGTGCGCAAGTATCTGGGCAAAGTAATTTTCTCTAGTTTCCTGATGGAATGGCACCTTGAGGGTTGCTGGCGAGCCTGTTAGTGTGTGCGGCTAGTCGATATAGTCGATATAGTCGATATTTCTTTGCGTTAAGCAGATCAATGGCGTCCTCTACATCCAGTCCAGTGCTAATTTCACTATTCAGATCTATACTATTACTCATCTGTCTCTGGAGATCAGTGCGTGAGTTGATCAGCCTCGGTATTGCGCCGACCACTCTGGCCCTGCTCCCCAGGTTAACTATCAGTACCGATTGAAAGAAGCTGGTCAGGGATTCCCTGGTAGATAGCGAAGTCTATGCAAGACGGAGTGCCTCTGCTGACGTACGGGTATCTTGTGGGAGAACCTGTGGCCAGTACCTCGCTTGACGATGCGCTAGGCTGTAAGCTAGTTGAAAGCCGCGCGCATTTGCTGCTACTTGCGCCCCACAGCCAGTGATGTGCATTCCAGTTGCCTCCCACTAGATATCGGCTTCCAGCCGAGCTGAGTATGACGTTGAAGTCATCAGTCGATGACTTTGGCCTGCAATAGTCGGTTCCAAAGTCCACAGTCGAATATTGGTAAATATTGATTGGCAATGCTCAATTGCCGGGAAGTGAACCAAGTTACCCCGGACGAGGACAGCGCACTTACCATTAGCTGAGCGATATTGAGTCCAGTCTACAGGGTACGCCTCGAAGCCAAAGATTCTGCAGCACAGCCTGTACATATAGAACTTAATGTCAGCAACTTCGAATAGTTCTTTAATATCCTTAAAACAATATGCATCTTGGTCATATAACCGGGTTATAACCCTATTGAAGTTCTTGGAGCAAGTCCAGTAATAAGGGAAGATTGACAATTTTTCAGGGAAAAAATGGAGGATTGGCCCTTATAGATTGAAATTAAGTTTGGTAGCGATTCCCAAATTAAGAGTGAGGCATTCGGACTTACTTCAGCCTCCTCTTTCGCGTCAACGGAGAAAGCCCAATTTTCAGCATACAGTCATTTTGTTTGATCTCGTCTAGGGGAGAGTCTGCGCAAGTGACGCACATTTTTTCAAAGACTTCGGTATCCTCGCCCTCTGATTCCCCGTCATCTGATTCGCCTCTCAGTACAGGAATTTCCTAGCTTATTGACATCGAGAACAACAGAGTAGAGTAAGCAGATGGTTTTATATTTGCATTATTCTTAAATTTGTGCTAAGCAGGGGGAAAGTTGATTTGTGACTTTGTATTTGCAAGCTAGCAGCTACTTATTTTTGAATCGCTAATGGATCGAGGTCAATCAACTCAGGGCTATCTTGGTTTCTTTTGTTTCGGTTATTGCTCATGATTGCGCTGTTTGTGCCAATGTCAGAAGTGACAGACTCGGGGGGAGGGGAAGTGCCGAGAAGTTTTATAGTTAATCTCGGCGGAAAGCTTTCGCAGATTATTGTTATTCAAAAAAGCCAGTGGTGGTTTGCTGCCGATTTTGCAAAGCCTTTAAGGTTGTTTAAGTTTAAATTTGACATAGCAGCTTGACAATTTTTTTAACTTCTCCCTATATTTGTAGGCAACTCTGCATTTTTGTGAATTGCAGCACTAAGTTTAACTAATTTTGTGTACAAAATGCACATTTGGAATTTAGACATGGGTCTTTTTTTTATTTTAGGCACTTTTTCACCGTTTTTGATTAGTTTGGGGTTAAACGCTCTCCTCAATGAATTATTTTGCCACTTTTCGGTAGGCTGATTGTATTTTGGCACTGTATTTCGCGATACTTTGTGGAGCTCGAAAACTGATCTGAAATTTAGAATGTCTAAAGTTATTCAAATTTAATGTCCGTAGCATGCTCCAATAAATATCACACTGGCCAAAATCTTGACCCACAACCGCGAAATACGCTGTCAAACTGGGCAATAATAGTTGACTACACTGGCTGCAAGCTGGATGGGGATGTTCGGAACTGATAGGTACTTTTCGTCTTTTCCATTTACTCAGCTTTATTCTAAACTGCCCAAAGTGAGGACAAGATAGGTTGACTTCAAAATTAGTGTTCGTTTCAGACATAATTGAGCATCGTGGTTCGAAAATTTCATAATTTTTGAGCACACCATAAGTAAAGTGAGTTATAGATGCTTGAAAATTTACTTACCAAAATCATCTGCCAACGGGAGATTTTAACAACAAATAGCTGCTATCCGCTCATTATCCAATATGGCAAGTCCGTATGCATGATGAAAAGGTCCCTTGGAAGAGAATTATATGAGAAACAATCTTGCAAAAACACAGCTTGCTTAAAGCGCGTTTCTTAAAGCCTTACTTGGTAAAGTAAAAAAGCGACTAAGGTTACACACAAGCGATTTTTTCCGTTACAACATTGGTCACCGAACATTACAACTCAAGGAATAAAGTCAGGATAAAAATAAATCATAGAATAGGATATCAGTGGACACATATCAGAAGATATTATTGTAGCCGATCTGGACATGAAATTTTTTATTAGGAGGAGGGTGGTCCAAAAATACAAGATTAAGTAAGGCAGTTACAGTTACGAAATACCATTGACGACCTTCACTTCTGTCATTCACACATCGAAGCTGAGCGACTATTCGACCTCTGACCACATACCCACACTGTTAACTTAACGATCCTTTTATAACGAATCTTCTGTTTATCTCTCTGACTTGCCCTCTCCTTGAATAATACTACTTGAGGCTTAAATTGGGACCCTAATCTTCGGTTGACATCCTACTGCAGCCGGCTGCTTCTTCTTAATCTTCCGTCGTTAACAAGCCGTAGGACAATTCTCGATGTTGTCTTCCTACATAAATTGGCTATAAATTTTCCCCCACCGTGTGGTTTCCCATTACTATCTCTCTATCCATACCTAACATTCTATATACCTTGTTTCAATTTCTTTACTTTTTTAATAACTACTTTCTTTCTTTTGCCTCATTTATTATATTTTCTTAATTAATAATGTAAATTAAGATTATTTTTAATTTTACTTAGGAACTTTGTTTTCTCTACTAACAGCCCTCTTCTCAGCTGTACGCTCTAATAGAGTCACTGACAAAATTAGCTGTGAAAAGGAGCATAGCTGGCCGGACAGGCAAATAAAACACCTTCACCGGTCGGGGATGCTACTTGAAAATTGTTTGCTCTAACTAGGCTATAAGCCTTTAATTTTCATAATTGTGTGTATTATGTATTGGGTATTATGTATTGGGTAATAAGGAAGTCACTCGTTTTGTCGACCATTAACAAATAAATAAAGAGTAGAAATACACTGGACAAATGATTACTGCGGACCACATAGACAGATAAATTACCATTTTGCGCATGGGAACAAAACAAGTTTCATCAAGGAAAGCTGGTAGACTCTTAAATAGCATTCAGAGAACATACGGTCTAAACACCGAACATTAGTACAAAATAATGTTAGCAAAAAGAAAAAAAAAACAGATAAATAATTTAAATTTCGAATATTTAACACCTGCAATAACTCTATCAAAAATAAACAAATCAGTTGTACAACTCTGAATGACATTGTTGTAAGTTGTAGTTGTAGTTGTAGAGAGCTGCATGGCTTCACTCACAACATACATACAGCATTGAATTGAATACCTAACCAAACAACATACGTATAGACTGGACAATCGGCGATGGGGCCTCTCGTTTTCTGTGCGGCTGGTCCAAAGTCGCCTTCGATTTTGTTCGGGTTCATAGAACGGCATCGCTGCTTTTTTTTATTCCCTCGCATTGCAGGAAACTTCTTAGGCTTACTCTCAGTGCTCTATAAATTTGTGTATTTAACGTTGTACTGTCTGTGTGTGTATTTGTCCGCACAAGAAAAAATTCCCATAAAGTCGAGCTTTCTCAAAAGTCGGTGGCTTTCTTTCCTTTTGAAGGGACAAGTAATATAAGATAATGAAATAATTTGCCACGACGTTGCAAAATTCTTGCATTTTAGCTCGGTATCGTTGGTAAGGGTACCAAGCGTTGCCATGTGTGCATTTAAAATATTTTTGACTCGCTATCAACGCATATTTGCATATTTTGTATGTGAATAGAGGAATTTGTTCGCTTGTGTGCCTGTTGGTGGCCTGCCTGCCTGTCCCTCGCAAATTTGACAAGTATTAAAGTTTTTATGATTTCTGTATTTCGGGCGCTAAAAACACACACATACATACAAATATGTATGAATGGGCAGATCAAGGCGCATACATCATACATACGTTTTAAGTCGTGAGTATGTACTGCATAAAATAAGCTGAGAGAAACTGTAGCTATTATCGAATTTTGACACTCGCAGATTAAGTTATAAGTTTAGTTTGGATAAAGCAGTCGACAGACCACGATGCTCAATAAAGATTGACCGCAATATATAACTCAGTCATTTCTTTAATTTTTCCTATATACCAAATGTGGTGTCTGTGGGTCCATATATACTCTTTTTTGTTTTTGTATTATTTCTCACATATCATTCTACTTTCTATTACTATTTTTATGAATTTTATTAGTTAATACTATAAGAAACTACAATAAATTTAAAAAAAATATTTACAATATTTGAAAGTATTTATTTTTGCTAAGAAAGTCGAAAAATCATTTTTTTTTTCTAATGTGAAAACAATTTCTTGACATACTGTACATACATTTTTGACTACGATTTTTATCGATTTCATGGACTCTGGAAAAGTTTTATGTAGCACAATTTATTTAGCATTATAAAAAAGCGCTACCGTATCTTTGAAAACTTTCAAATCAAACAAATTTATTTGTTCAATATAATTTATTTGTTTTCGAAACATAATAAATTTGTATTTTGAGAAAATACCAGGCAGATATTCAATGATACGTATTTGAGTGTACAAACCCTATAATGCGTATTGATACTCTAAGAGAAATATTTAACTTGAACTGGAAAAAAACACGAAAGAAAACTACCAAAGCTATAACAAGAGTCACTATTGAGGCAGTCGACATATTAAAAGTGCCACTAGATCTTTACTTAGGATCAGTTATATTCTCTGTATAAAATGAGAAAAATAATTCAAGCTTTAATTTTGTATGTTCTTTCACCGACAATTGCTGCATCTACTTATGACAACGCGAATTACAATAGCAATAAATTCATTGATATACAAACTTCAAAACAAATTTCGGACGCCAGCGCACCAAATTTCGTACGACTTGTTATTATGCGGTTAATATATGGCATTGCGTCTACCATTGGATTAGAAGATCGTCTGGAAGATACGTTTAATGGAGCTTTTGTACCCCCCAATGCTGAAAATGATCTTGGAATAGCTGACATTGGAGGAGGTGGTGAAGGATTACTTAGCAATATTTTTGAAGACGACGACTACTAATTTTGATATTCAAGAACAAATTTACTCTGGAATGAGTTATCAAAATAATAAAGTCAATTTCAGTATGAGTACAAAAAATAAGACCATATTTTTAAATTATTGCTTAAATGATTATCTAACTTATTATTTAAATACGTGTTTCATTTATATATATATATATATATATTAACATTTGGAAAATAAACAAGTGTTAAAAATGTTGAAGAAATGTGTGTGTTTTCTATGTACGTTATGGCTGGTTTGTTATACCAGAATTAACTATTTAAAGCCAGGAGCTATTAACAGAAGAACCGACAGCAAGTTTCGAATGTCAGGCTAGTGAATAATGTAGTCTTACTATTTGTCTTAGACGTTTGTCATAGTAGTCTGTGCTATTTAAACAGTTAGGTTGATGGCTTGAAATCTCTATAAGCTGTCTATAACGACTTACTAAATGAATGACTGTCTGCAGGGTGATCCCGCTTTAAGGGCCAAAAAGATGAAATTCTTACCGAAGCTTTTGGGTCATAAGTGAGCTATAACTTTTTCCTACGAAAAACTCTTAAGGCAAATTGGACGACTCTACTCAACAGACACACCAGCCAAAAAAAAAAAAAAAAACATAGAATTCGAATCAGACGCGCGTGAATGTGTGTGTGTACATACAAAAATTCTTGCAATTTGCGCTAGCTGCCCCATCCACTTTCGAAGTAAAATACTATGGTTCTTATACCCTGAACCCATTAAAAAGTATATATATTATTGATCAGCACCAATAGCCGAGTCGATCTAGCCATGTCCGTCTGTCCGTATGTATGAACGCAAGGATCTCAGAACCTATAAGAGCTAGAGACATGAAATTAGATGTAGGTGCTTCTAGTGCTTGCGTAGATCGAGTTTGTTTCCGATAATCGATAGCTTACTCCATTTCCAAGCAATAGATAAGAATCGATAGCGATATCCTGTTTTTTGGTAATAATAAGAGCTAGCGTCACCAAACTTGACATATAGCTTCTAAAATAGAATATATATATAATTAAGTTTTAGACGTTGTTACTATAAAAAAATATATTTCAATTTATTATTTTCACTTAACGGCTACTTTTGTTGAGTACATTCAGATTTGCTTCCCGAATATGAACTGATTTATCTAACTGTTGCGGTCGCTTAGCAAAATTCGCTTTGAGAGAGTTTGAGTAAAAATTGAGTGAAGTTTGAGCTGCGTTAGCAATTATGCGTGGGATAGTGCTCTGATGGGAACATTGACAGTGGCGTGATATTTAGGGTGAATTGTTTATGTCTACCAAAGGGGGGCAGTTTGATCTTGACCAATGTCGATGTTATCACCAGGCTCTTTGTTTACAATATTAAAAAGGTTTATACTTGTGCTTATGCTTATGTGCTAAGTTATGTTAAAGGGTGGGTGCGACTATGGATATGTCACTATATGCATTTGATGTTGGAAGAAGAGGGTTCAGGGTAAACCCTAGTCGGGAGCTCCCGACTAGAACCTCTTACTTGTTAGTATGAATTTAGTAAATTTTCAAAAAACTGTTCGTAACTTACAATTAAGGACTAACTAAGACAAAGAGCATACTCATGCTTACGTATTAAATGCAAATATTAGTTCGCGTTGTAGTAGCCGTGTGGCACCAGTTTTTGGCTGCTAACTAGTAATTGTTGCATTTGGCAAATCGGCAACGTCGATATTGTCGGTAGTTGATTGCATTCCGTTGTATCCGTCACGCTGATATCTTTTGGGATGCGGTCAGAGTATCGGGGGTGAAGCCGGGCACTCAGCGGCACCCCATTTATTTAAGTGTGGCATCGCCGGGCAGGCGATCCACGCGCCAAAAGGGACGATTGCTGTTGGCCGCCCGATTAGCTCTCAAAGAAATTATAGGGAGAGCGGATCCCCTGCCCTAGGATATGCCCTTGGCCTTTATTTGGGTCGTTGACCAAAAGTAAATGCAGCTGTGCAGATTGGCAGCAACGGTGACCATATTTGAATGTACGCGCGTGCCGAAATTCGGCATCTATGATGTTGCTGCCCAAATGTACAGCCAGGAGTTCGACTTTGTCAGCGGTCAATGGCGGGCGTGCCATGCTGAAAGCAAGTTTAAGGTTTAAGTTCTGCGTTATACATGTCGGCTCCAAATATTTTAGAAATATATTTCTTACCGTACAAGATAAATGTATATGTAGCACAAGAACTTTTGTTTTGCAAATAACGGAGCTTTATTTTTAATAGTGTACCGAGGCATACAAATTCAAATCATAAAACTTACGTGCGACCCGTGACGAACACACAAAAACTATAAGACACTTAATAAAAGAAACGGCCCACGGTACCGGCAAAGAAGAGGCCAGTTCTCGGTCAGAGAGGCCCACAGTAAGGGCCCATTTCGGCTCAGCGGCGCATTTTTGATTTATCAGTGAAGCCCACATACTTCGCGCACTGCTCATTGGCGGAACGGACAGGGCTCCAACGACGACGAAACAGACGCCGGCGAGAAGAGCCACCAAAGACGGGGCTTCAACAACGGTGAAGCGGCCACAGGCGAGACCACGCCCACACCATCACTAAGTGAGTCCGTTCGAAGTCGTCCTTCCTCGCCACGAGCAACCGGCTGAGTCAGACGCAGACTTTTGTTCGAGACCCCAGATGAAGAAAAGTTTTTTTTCTGCTGCAATTATTTAGTATAGTTTTTTTTTTTTTTGTATATTAAATAACATACTCGCTTAAGAGTGCCCCAAAAGCTATTGCGTTTGTCCCAGAGAGCTCCTTAGATAGGCTAAGTGTTATTTAAGCTATTTAATTCCTACTTATTTATTTTCTGATATATAAGTGACTTACCAACATATCCTTTTGTTTTCAGTGGGGTAACATATACATATACTTATATTAGATATTTGATTTCTCAATTGTAGATGTACATGTTGTTATTCCTTTTCACAGGTGCTGAGATTGTTAAGATTATATTTCTTCTAGATTATGTTCGGAAAGCAACTAGCTTTCCAAATCACTGGCCTTGTGGCTCAGCAATAAAACAATTAGTATAGCGGATTGATGACGGAAAGTGCCAGATCAGTATATATGAAGAAGTTGTTCTTACAAATTTGGATATAAAACTAAATTAGAATTGAAACATTGAATTGGATATGAACCCAAAGGGTCCGCCGCTGCCTCCAGTGGCCGGGCACTGAACTCATGCGTCAGTTGAATGTCGCAATGTAAGCAAAGTGCACTGCAACATTCTTGCGTTCTTATAAACAAAAGTGTGTTCTTATGACATAAATATGAAGAGCAATTCTTATTTATTATCTTCTTCCCCCTCAAGCTTTTAACAGTCCTCGGTTATTTTAATTATTTAACTGTTAATGGTCTTCTGTACTTCCTTCCATGCTTGCCTTACCTTTACAATTTGCCAAACGATGATAAAGCCAATACCAACGACACTGAGGATGATGCCTTCAATTCGACCTCTAAACTTTGAATGACGCGCAGATTGCGGTTGTTCATCATCTGCAGTTGGGGCATGCTTAACACTGGATCGTGGCTGATGATGCTGAGTAGAGGCGACCCTGCCACGCCTGGCAATCTGGGAAACATCTCGTACT